AAGAGTCACTGTCACACAGGCCTGTTGCTGCACGGTCATGTGGGTTTTCTCAACCTGGATTTCAACCAGACAATAATGTTAACTAATCATCCCCCCCCCCCTCTCTCTCTCTCTCCCTCTCTCTCTCTCTCTCTCTCTCTCTACTCTCCACACATCACTCTGTGCAGCTGGTGGTAGGGCTGTGTGTGTCTCTGTTCGGTATACATCAGCTTCTTAAATCTGTCTGTGTTTAACAGCCTGCCTGATTTAAACGTGTTCTCTCTCTCTCTCTCTCTCTCTCTCTCTCTCACTCTCACTCTCACTCTCTCTCTCTCCTTCTGGCCATCCCTCCTTCCCCTGCTTGTGTTGCCCTCCACAGTGCTGCAGTGTGCTGCTCTCAGCTGCAGGGTCTTTGTTTATCAGATGCTGGCATAACCCCACTGGAGGCATCTCTCTCTCTCTCTCTCTCTCTCTCTCTCTCTCAAGGTGAATGTCAGCTCTATGTGCCAAGGAGAGCAGATGGGGTGCTGAAGAAGAACAGAGCAAAATAAAAAACAAATAAGACATCTGACGGGAATTCTAACGAACTGCTTATAGTTCTGAAAGTATGCTGCGCTTCTGCTTGGATGATGGAATTTGTCTGCAATACAGAGAAATTTGTTGTATTTTCACACAGAAAAAGGAGATCATTTGACCCGGGATTCGATTGACAGTCTGCTTAGGTAATGTTCTGAAACAGTAGAGTCTGGAGGAACCAAACCTTTACTCTCATCCACATCTCAAATAGCCATGACCCTATAATGACCAAGGTAAATTTGGTTGGTGTTTTGGAGAAACAATCACCACAGCTTCAGGAGCACTGTCCTTGCACAGTTGTGGACGTTTGTCCGAATACATACACCTGGTACACTGTGGATTAGTGGTTAGCACGTTCGCCTCACACCTCCAAAGGCCGTGGTTCAAATCCTGCTGGGGTCCTGTGTGTGCAGTTCTGCATGTTCTCCTCGTGCTGTGTTTCCTCCCCCAGTCCAAAGACATGCATGGTAATCTGAATGGCATGTCCAAAGTGTCCATAGTGTGTGAATGTGTATGAGATTGTTCCCTATGATGGATTGGCACCCTGTCCAGGGTCTACCCCACCTTGTACCCCATGCTCCCTGGGATAGGCTCCAGGTTCCCTCTGACCCTGTAGGATAAGTGCTATAGAAGATGGATCAATGGATGGATTATTCACTTTACACACAATGATACCATTTTCCACTCACACTATAGGAGCTTACTGTTCCTTTAAAATGTTGTTTTCCTAAAAAAAAAAACGTCTCATCAAAACATACAATTGCATATTTTTCTCAGTCTCCAAGAAGTCTACTATTACCCTTGAACATTTCCCTGGAGTAAACAAATGAAGTCGCACAGAGATCAAAATGATCTTGTCATCAATCACAATATAAAACCATAGCTTTGAAAAAAAATGTCTGGTGACCCACAAAAAAGGAAATCTGGTAACTAATATAATAATACATAATCACAGTTTATAATAATAATAATAATAATAATAATAATAATAATAATAATAATACCATTAAGCACATTCAGCATCATAATAAAAAGTTTGAGATGTCTGTGATAGACATTTGCCAGAAACAAGGCACTTGAGCATATATCTTGTACTGACACACCCAGACAGTGAGGACGATACTGAGGGTGGCAGTGAAGAGCCATAAGAGAACTGTTTCAGAAAGGAACGATTTAGTTTGTTCTTGAGGTGTTCAAGTTTCAAAATCCAATATTGAAGAAGGGTTAGAAATAGACACATTGCGCAAAAGAAGACAAAGATGGGTTTCACAAAACGTGTTCATTATGAAAGCAACCCACAAAATGCAGCATCTGTACTTTGGAACAACTGAAATCTTGTGATCGGATAAAAAGAATTTAAACTCAGAGATTTCGGACACGGACTCCATTGGCATGTTTGCCAAAAAAAGAAAAAGCACTGATACACTTTGTAGAACAATCTAGGGTCATCAACCCTGTTCCTGGAGATCTACCTTCATGAAGAGTTCAACTCCAACTATGATCGTGCCCACCTGACCATCTAATCGTTAGAAGCCTTACGACGTTCTTGATCGACTAAAACAAGTGTGTTAGATTTTGTTTGGAGATGAAACCTGTAGGAAGGTAGATCTCAAGGAGGACGGTTGGCGAGTGACCACTGCTGTAGAACACGGTAGTGTAGATCGTTGCTGCTTTGGCGCTGTTGATCCTGGTGGTCCAGGGTTCCTTCTAAAGATCTATGGCATCAGAACTTACCAGAATGTTTTAACAAAAACCTGTTTGCCTCTGCCAGGAGCTTAAGACTTGGTCATAGATAGAGCTTTCAAGATAATAAACCCAAATATACACACAAATGAATGCAGAAATGGTTGTGGGAACAAATCCATTCATCTTCTACCGTTTACTCCTTCTTCAGGGTCACGGGGAACCTGGAGCCTATCCCTGGAATCAAGGCGGGGAACTCTGGGTGTTGCATTGGCAATTTCAGTCTCTGGATTTGAATCCTACAGAACACCTGTGGTTTGAATTGAAGAGGGATGTCTATAGGAATATAAAGGAGGTTGACATGATCTACATGGAGGAGTCAACCAAGATCCCTATACAAGTGTCTCCAACCTCGTTAGATGTTCCAGGAAAAGACTCCGTGCTGTTATTATCTACAGAGGTGAGATGTATTAATTGTTCGACTTCTATTATATAATAATGACATCAGATTATAAAAGCAATGGAATTAAAAAATATTCCAACATATCAACCTTTCACTCTCCAAACAGCGGTAATAATGATCCGTTCTATCAGTGAACCATGCCTGCGCTGTAGAAGCTAACACTATACAATTCCAGCTGGGGTTTTTTTTGTTGTTTTTTTTTACAGTTGATAATCTAATTAACTTTACAGCATGTTGTATACCGAGATAAGCAGTATACTTCATCCTCAGAGATACAAGGAAGAAAAATGTGTGTGTATGTGTGTGTGTGCACGGGCTCGCAAGAGTGTAATTTGTGTTTGTCCATCCTCTTAAAGGTACTCCAGGAGACAAGGGCTTCTTAAAAAAACACAAACCTGCACTCTTCAGCTTGAGAGGGTTTGTGTGTGTGTGTGTGTGTGTTGTGTGTGTGTGTGTGTGTGTGTGTGTGTGTGTGTGTGTGTGTGATCAAATTCAGGCATGCAGGGCCAAAGTAGGCAGTAAATTATTTGCTTGTATTGATGGGACACAGTATTTATTTATTTCTTTGTGCAAGTATGTGTGTGGCATCTTTGGTGGTCAAGATTGCCCCTTTCTCACCCTGATATCCTGTCCCCCTCACACTCATCATGTCCCCACACACACACACACACACACACACACACACACACACACACACCATGTCCTTAGAGTCCAAAATCCTCCCCGCTAATTAACAACACCTCAGTCCCTCCTCCTCTTGCATGGCAGTAAATATTCACACACACACATATCCATATCCCAGATACAAGCCCTCCTTTACCCCCTCTCCATTCTTTTCTTTTTCTCTTTTCTGGTTTTATCACCTCTTTTCGTTTTTGTCTTCAGCGCTACAGCCATCAATCATCCCATTAACCTATCGTGTTAGGGGAAACTCTCGGGAACGCCTCCTCCCATCCTCCAACCCCAAACATCAACCCACACTCTCATTTCTTTCTCTCTCTCTCTCTCTCTCTCTCTCTCTCACGCACACACAGATAGGTTTTAGGAAGTACTCTTTTGCCTTTTCCACCCTACATTATTTTCCAGTTCTTGCCAGACCATCTCTCTCTCTCTCGCTCTCTGCAGTAGACAGTCAAACTGGTTCCTGGCCTGTGATGGTCAGAAGGAGTTGGATGGAGTTTTTGGGGAACACTCTGGGTGGTACACTGGCCCCTGTAGCCAGCACAATGCCCCCTGTGTCCCCATGCGACTCATAGCCTTGTTTTACAACAGGGGAGGAGACGCCTTCAATGCCCCAATGATGTGAACCACCCTGAGCCTATTCACAGTGACAAACGGGCTCTGGCGTTCCTAACAACACACACACACACACACATACAGACAAGAGTATACACTGCATACCTCTGCATCTGTGCACGGTGACCACATATGCACACATTACCACCACATGCCGATACAGCTACCACCATACGCTATCTATTTCCTCCTGTTCTCATTTCGCACCTTTTATTTATCTCTCGCTCTCCGTCTCTCTAAAGCCCCCTCTTTGGCTGGCTCTTAGCAGGGCTGAATTGGTGTTGCTTTAATTCAATCAGCAAGCTCTTTTCTTGTGCCGCTCTTTGGAGGCCTCAGCAGCCAAATGGCTTGATGACAACATAATTGCAAAAGAATTGAATGAGGGCCACCGCCAAAGAAGAGAAAAAGCCCACCGGCATTCCCCTGCAGCGATACACACGGAGACACACACACTCTAGACTCCTTTTATCCTACCTCTTTGACAAGATTCTGAATGTCTGCAGTCTGAACAGTGTTTTTAAGTGTAAGATGCCTGTAGGCTTTAACTGCTCTCTGGCATACGTTAGTTTCAGTGGATTTTCTACGTAGAGCACAACGGACATTGTTACGAAACCGCTAATGAGCAAGCCATGTGGAAAGGTAAAATTCCACACCCAGAAACTGCTTGCGAGGGGTGTTTCAACCTTTTGATGAACTACACAGTTCAGGAACTATCCCGAATGAGAACTACACAGTTCCTGGATGAGACCCTGATCTGTGTTATCCCCTTTTTTTTAAAACCCTTTTTTTTTTAAAATTTTTTTTTTTTGTGGGTTTTTTTTTTTTTTTTTTTTTTTTATTGCAAAAAAAAGGAGGTTTTGAAACTATCTGTACCAGCATGATGCTAATTTCAACGCTTTTGTCTTTTGCGTGTGTTTTATTTTCTCCTTTTGTTTGTTGTTCTGAATATCCAGCACCACTTCGCATTTCTGCAGTTATTTACTTATTGAGGAACATGATCCACACATGGTGGTTTAGTGGTTAGCACGTTCGCCTCACACCTCCAGGGTCGGGGGTTCGATTCCCACTGTAGCCCTGTGTGTGTGGAGTTTGTCTCCCTGTGCGAGGGTTTTCTCCCCCAGTCCAAAGACATGCATGTGTGTCCAAACTGTGAGTGTGTATGTGATTGTGCTGTTATAGATTGGCACCTGAATAGGTTGGTACCTGTTATAGATTGGCACCTGAAAAGGATAAGTGGTATAGAAGATGGATGGAAAATGATCCAATATTACATATCTGTGAGTGGCAAAAGTATGTGAAAATTTTTGGCAGTATCTGGTGTGAGCCCCTTGTGCAGCAATAATGGCAGATAAATGTTTCCGGTAACTGTTGATCAGTCCTGCACATGGACTTTGAGCGTTCCTTTTTGGAGAGCAGTGGTTTTCTCCTTGCGACCCTGCCATGCACACCATTGTTGTTCAGAGTTCTCCTGATGGTGGACTCATAAACATTAACATTAGCCAATGTGAGGGAGACCTTTAGTTGCTTAGAAGTTACCCTGGGTTTCGTTGTGACCTTGTGGACTATTACACGTCATTCTCTTGGAGTGAGCTTTGTTGGTCTTCACTCCTGGGGAGGGTAACAATGGTCTTGAATTTCATCCAATCTGTCTGACTAAAGAGTTTCGGTGGAGTCCAAACTCTTTAGAGATGGTTTTGTAATCTTTTCCAGCCTGATGATTATCAACAGCTCTTTTTTGGAGGTCATTTTTTCGGGTCATGATACACTTCCACAAATAAGTGTTGTGAAGATCAGACTCTTTAAAGAAAACAGAGCACTCACACACTCACTCATACCTAATTGTCATCCCACTGATTAAAAAAACTCCAAACGTTCATCGATTTGATGGGACCTCCGCAGTGCTTATAAATGGCTAACAAAATGCTGCATATGGAAAAAAAAGCTAAAAACAACAACGTATACCTATAGCCCTAGTTCCTCTAGTGGAAATGGACCAAATTTTCCTGGCTTCCTGAAAATGTTCCTCTTTAAAAAAAAAAAAAAAAAAAAAAAAAAATAAAAAAAAAAAAAAAAAAAAAAAAAAAAAAAAAAAAAAAAAAAAAAAAAAAAAAAAAAAAAAAAAAAAAAAAAAAAAAAAAAAAAAAAAAAAAAAAAAAAAAAAAAAAAAGAAGTACGTTTGAAAAAAAGAAAAGAAAAAAAAAAAAAAAAAAAAGGTAAAAAAAAAAAAAAAAAAAAAAAAAAAAAAAAAAAAAAAAAAAAAAGGAAGGGAAGGAGAAAAAAAAAAGGAGTACCAGTACCAGTACAGGGTCTTATGTCTGAGTGTTTAATCTTCATGTAACAACTTATAATCACCGCAAGAGTTACTCAATGTAATAGGACGGAAGAAATTGTACATCTTCTAGGTGAAGAAGCAAGAGGTTACACCACATGACATTTTATATCAGTAGACATTTTCATTATCATCTAGATTAATGTGTGAATCCTCGTATGTTCCCATACCCAAACCTGGAAACATCTGTGCAGATGGGTGCCAGTGTGTCCAGAGACATGTAAACCCAGAGCAATGGGCTGAGAACAAAGAGCTGAGAGCCACTTGGACTGGACACCACATACACACGCCTTCCCATTCACATCTTTCTTTTGTCCGAGCCCCAATATTGCTCCATCTCTTGACTGCTGGATGACACGCTGGATGGGGCTGCAGTCCATCTGTCTGGTTAAAGGGGTATGTGTGTGTGTGTGTCTGTGTGAGAACAAGAAGCTGGAAGAGAGCGGGAATCTAACAGGTGGAAGAGGGGCCATAACAGTGGGGGATTATGATTCATATTCATATCAGCATGAAGAATAATAACTAACGTCGTACTGATTTTTTAAAACATTTTATTCCTTCTGGTATTGCTACAATACAAGAGTTTTCATCACTGTATAAAGAAAATGTGCTGCTCGTCGTTTATGTCCACTACACACATACTCGAGTGAGTGAAAAAGATTAAACGATTAAATGAATCATGATTTAATCACATGAACATGTGTGGCTGAAATTACTTGGTTTGAAGTTGTGAGTAACTAGACTAGACAGGTCTGTGGGTGGTTTAAAAGGCGCAAGCTGGGAAAATATCCATCCATCTTCTACCACTTCCTTCTTCTGGGTCGCGGGGAACCTGCCTATCCCAAGGGGGATCAGGCACAAGGCGGGGTACACCCTGGACAGGGTGGCAGTCCATCGCAGGGCACAATCACACACACACCCATTCATACACTACGGACAATTTAGACAAGCCAATCAACCTACCATGCATGTGTTTGGACACGGGGAGGAAACCGGAGTACCCGGAGGAAACCCCCGCAGCACAGGGAGAACATGCAAACTACACACACACGGCCCTGATAGGAATCGAACCCCGGAACCTGGAAGTGTGAGGTGAACGTGCTAACCACTAAGCCACCGTGCGCCCTGGGAAAATATGTTTTGAAAATATGATTGCTTACACGAGTAGAGGTGGGTTTAAAAATAGAATAGGAAATTGATGAGCTGATATTCAAGGATATATAGAGTGAGGTAGAGGTGAAGATTACTATAAGAGACAGTAGAGTTGTGTTAAACCAATTGGATTACAGAAGGTGTGTGTGTGTGTGTGTGTGTGTGTGTGTGTGTGTGTGTTCAAATGAAAGCATAAAGATTCCAGTCCCCTCGTTAGACATTACGAGGGTGTGTGTGTGTGTGTGTAGTCGAGAAAGGGGGAGTGGTGGAATTTTCTCTTTTCTTGTATGCTAATAGCGAGTATAGAATTGAAGAGAATTTGTTTTCATCCTATCACTCTAACCTTTCCTCTCTCTCTCTCTCTCTCTCTCTCTTTGTGTGTGTTGTGGAGGTTGTAAAATGTTTTTTTAATCATATATATCTGTACATCGAAATGTTTTGTCCACGTGTTAATGTGAAAGGCAAATTGAAACGTTGCCACTTTATGGAAATCTTTTTTCTTTTTTTAGACAATAAAAGTTCTAATAAAAGCCAAGCACATCCAAAGGGCATCTTAACGCATCAGAGCTAAACATGCGATGTCTATGGCACTTTATTCAAACACCAGCAGCTTTGCCATGAGACATGGTTACACTCACTACACACACACACACACACACACACACCCTCCTCCTAGTGGGATCAGGGGAGCAGGTTGTGGAAACATTTGTAACATTTGGTGAGAGCAAATCCCTCAGCTTTCTCTTGAAAAGAAGTAGCCACCTTTCTTCTAAAAGGATCTCTCGTTCAGCGGGCCCTCTCTCTCCCACACCAGCCTAGGACTCGCGCGCTCTTCACACCCCTCGCCACGGCCCACAAATCCCCCTTTATCCGCTGGCAGCCAGATGGGGTGGCAGGAATAATAGGCAGAACCCAATGAGCCCCATTCAATTTGTTCGGGCATGTAAAGGACCTTGTAAGCCGCTCCATTTGAGCAGGGTGTAATAGTAGCTAGGGGTGCGGAGGCTACGTTAAGACTTAATTACCTACTAATGGTTGTTGTAGGGACAAAATCCCCACAACTCACACTCCCATCAAATGAGGTGGGGGAAGGGGGGGCTGCTTGGAGAGAGAGAGAGAGAGAGAGAGAGAGAGAGAGAGAGAGAGAGAGTGTTAAGTTTTCTGTATTAATGTTTTGGCAATATTGTATGTAAACAATCATGCCAATAATGTCCTCTGATATTGAAAACTGAATCGAGAGAGATTTACATGAGGCGTAAATTAATCGTGATGCAGCTTTGTTTCATATTATTCTGTAGCAATAGATGGTGAAATTTACCAAGTGTGAGAGAGAGAGAGAGCAGTTGTTTTCTGTAGCTTGAGCGAGAATGTTCACTCCTTTTCCTCCCCCTTTTCTTCATTTCTTTCTTTTTACTTTGGGGGAAGATTAGCTGGATTAAGAATGACTCACATATGCTCCTCCTCAGCATTGGTATTCACCACAACACAGGGCCAACTGCCACCCAGACGGGACAGTGACAGAGAGATGACTAATTGTGCTGGACACCACTAGATATGTGACATGTGGACACTGGACACTGGACATGCTGGAGACGAGTGCATGGATAGAGCGTTAAGCAATGTTCAACCCACTGAACTGTGGAATTGTGTTAAGGGATTAAAACTAATTTCTACAAATATTGTTATTGTTCTACTTGCTCTCTCTCTCTCTCTGTTTGTGTGTGATAGAGAGAGAGTTCGATCTTCAAGTTCATTCAGACCCATTCAGTTTGGGAGTTTGTGCTATAGGGGATCAAACATGGGCTAGTGCTTGGAGGTTCATCAAAATTTAACATTGATCTCTCTCTCTCTCTCTCTCTCAATCCCCCCTTTCTTTCTTTCTCTCTCACTCTCTCTCTCTCTCAATCCCCCCTTTCTTTCTTTCTCTCTCACTCTCTCTCTCTCAATACCCCCTTTCTTTTTTTTTTTTCTTTCTTTCTTTCTTTCTTTCTTTCTTTCTTTCTTTCTTTCTTTCTTTCTTTCTTTCTTTCTTTCTGTCTCTCTCTCTCTCTCTCTCTCTCTCTCTCAATTCAATTCAAAGTACTTCATTGGCATCATTGTTTCCATACAACATTACCAAAGCATCAATATAGAAAAGAAAGGAGGGACTCCACCCCTAGTAGCACCTGCATTTGGACTCCGCCCCTAATAGCACCTGCATTTGGATTCTGCCCCTAGTAGCATCTGTATTTGGACCCCGCCCCTAGTAGCACCTGCATTTGGACTCTGCCCCCAGTAGCACCTTCATTTGGACTCCATCCCTAGTAGCACCTGCATTTGGACTCCGCCCCTATTAGCACCTGCCTTCGGTTTGCTCTGTAAGGTTGGAAAACTGCAGTAATTGGAATAACTGCATTATTTTTCTCTTGTGTTACGGACGTTCTCACAGTGAAGGGGAAAGGGTTCCTCTGTCTCACCCTCACCGGTCTCACAGTCACAGCACGCTCTTTTTTCTTCTGGAAGCCATGTTTGTTTGTGTCTGCCTTTCTCTATGGCTAGGCCATGATCAAGGAGCCTGGAGTTTGTAAGGATCTGTCCCTGTTTCGTATATCTGACCCTGA